ATGGAAAAAAAAGAACTCGATTAGCATTTGAAAAAGTAGAAGCATTAGCCAAGATTCATCGGTATTATACAACCCATGCCAAAGAAGAGATTTCTTATATTGATCGTGAGCTTACTTTAGAGGATGTGTTAACCGTAGCAAATGGAGTTGAGGAATTGGATGATAATGATTCAAATGAAGGCTCTGCTGATGATGAAACAGAATTAGAATCATTAGATGAGACTTTGAATTTGGAAAAAGATTTTGATTTAAATCATGAAGTTTTTGGAGAAGAAGATCAAAATTATAATATAAAATCGAATTCTGAAAATGTAGCTGAAGAACAACCAAATTATGATTACAATATAGATAGTTTAGTTGATAAAATTTTTACTTAAAAATTTCGGGTTAGAAAAGATAGTGTATTAATAATATACTGTCTAAAATAAACTACTACATAATATTTTGTATCTAAAGGTTTGTTTTTTTGAATAATAGAATTAATTAGTAAATTAATTTGGCCCACTCAGCCTAGTCTCTAATATAATATATTAAGCATCGTTAGCCAAAATATATGCTATAACGCAATTAATTATTATTATTTGTTCAAGTTTAGTATTAGGAATTGAAACCACTATTCGTTTAACCGCCTTTAATCGTTTATTTAATTATACGGCTAAATGAGTAGAAAATTTTATAAATGATTATAAACTATTAAATTATTTGCTTAATCATTTTTTAAATTTTATACGATTAATCGTTTAATCGTTTAATGCCTCATGTGGATATAAACCAATATGAGCATGGTCATTTCATAACGCTAAACTTTATTAACATTTAGACAGTATAACTATATTAGTAATACCAAATTAAAATCCAAAAGTGAATATTCTTACTGTAGTGAGCTAATTGTTCAAAGTTTGTCTTAGTTGGGCAACACTCATTATCGTATTAAGAAAATATTTCCATTATACTTTAAAAATTTTATGCTCTGAACTTATACTGATTTCTAGCTTCTAACGATTACATTTAAATATTAAACGATAAATATATGGTTATACTATTACAGTTAAATGATTATAATTAAACGACGCAATTAACTACTAACATAATTTTTTGTGGTTCCAATCTCTATTTAGTATTTATATAATATCTCTTATTTGGATGGGTTGTATAATACCGATGAATCTTGGCTAATGCTTCTACTTTTTCAAATGCTAATCGAGTTCTTTTTTTTCCAT